TATAAAACGAAAGGGAGTGAAGTAATGGTAAATAAATTGTTGAGACTCTCTGTATTATTTTATAAATACAAACTTTAATAAGCTCAAAACGGAGCGGGCCACGTGTATGCGTGTTACACCAATGGCGTATCTCTCCAGACTGACTCTCCTACATGCGTTTGTCGTTCGCGATTCTATAATTCTTAAAAAAAATACCATCCTGCTTCGAGTTGGCAAACTAACATTTCTCACAAGTGAGAACGTAGTTGATTGTAATCTCTCTCTCTCTTTCTCTCTCTCTCTCTCTCGTTCTCTCATTTTTACCTTACTGTTAATATATTCATGAATAAATATTTACATTAGCTCGTTCACCTACATTTGCTTCATGTTGCAGTAGATATGTATATTGGATAACTGATAAATGATATACTCATGCGTAGTATGCAGTAATGATTGAATCAGTTGTACTATTTTCATGTACATTTTACTTTTTATTTAAATTTCAAATCATAAGGATCATTAAATACGATAACATATTTAATGATGAAAATTGTTTGATAAATAAATTATTGATAAATTTGTTCTATTAATCGAAAAATTGCAACGTTGAGATTACATAGGTCATTAGTGAATAATTCATCTGCAAGTATTCTTCAGCAATTCATTTAGACGTGTTTTAACATATTCACAGGACGAAATTATCAGACATGCATATTGCGCAGCAGCACGAGGGCGTTTTAATGCCAAATTATCGCGACAGAGATCGGATTATTGATGAAAAGTAAAATGCATTGGCGCTGCTTTCTGTCCATCTCTCTCTCTCTCCTCTCTATCTCTCTTCCTCGTCAAGGAGGTCGAGCGAATAAATGTTGATGAAAATAAACGGAAACGCGCTAATCTGTCGCAACGGCAAAATCGGTACTCATATATATGTGTATATATGATAATACTACAGATTTACAAAATTATAGGTTGTGATTATTGTTGGCCAACTAAGGGTTATTTCCTAAGCAATTTTTTGCGAATTTATAAGGTATTCTAACCTGAAAGAATGAACACAGCGATTTTTTTTATTTAAGGTTCTGTAATATCGCAAAAAATACTTTTTTTCTGAAATTGAAATTAAAATTTGTCGAAAATTGTCAAGCCTTGCAACCTATGGGTTGTACATTAGTCAATACTAAGAAAAATGAGATTTGAGGGTTTAAGGTAATAGCCTTTAAGATTAAAGGACTTGAGTATTATGGAATTGACGTTTTAAGAATTCGGGGATATATTTTCGCGGGTTAATACTCGAACTTTGAAAAACTTGTGATTTAAGGATCTGGGGTTATGATCTCGCAGGTCACAAGGTTCTAGGGTTAATGTATTATATTTTAATACTATCTCAAAATGGTTGAAATACTTAACTTCAATTTACGATATCTCAATAAAAAAAAGACAATTAAAATTCGAAAGACTTCGGTTTTGGATTCTACGCAATAAATTAGTTGGGAAATGACCTTTATTGTGTCAAAAAAACAAACCGTGCAGACCTATGGATCTGTGTAATAACAAACGCAGAGGCAGAGAGAGAGAGAGAGAGAGAGAGAGAGAGAGAGAGAGAGAGAGAGAGAGAGAGAGAGAGAGCTCCGATTAGCCGCGTCAAACTGCAGCAGCTGCAGACACAAAGTTTTCGAGTGTTATAGGCATTGGTGAGAGAGAATTGTAGTAGTGCGCTCATTTGTTTTCTTGTGTTAGCTCTTGCAGTCGATTTGCATAATTATTCCACGCGGACTATCTCTTTCATTGTGGGCTGACCAAAATTTGTGTTACCACCGTAAAGTTTATTTTAGGATTTGGGCAAGATCGCGAGAATCTTTTTTCAGGAATTATGCAAACTAGGTGTGAAATCGAATTATATATTCTCTGGCAAATTCCAATTGTAAGGGTTTTACGATGCAGGCACTATAAAAAAGTATCGAGGAAAAGATTATTGAGTAAGATATGCCAGATCAAAAGTCTCGCTCCGACTGTGTTGGTGACGTCTCTTAGGACAAAGTGCTGTGAAAGCTTACGACAGAAGTAAATCTCGGCTGTGGTCGGTTTTTGCGCGCACGCGGCCACATACACACACGCGCGAGCAAGCAAGCGCAAGTTTATACGAGGCAATAAACCTCCGCCAGCGGAACTGCAGCCAGACATCTTCCAGATTAAGCCCATCTCCACCGTGAGAGGTTTGTATGATGTAGGTTCACCAGGGACCTCACAGCTATACTTCCGTGTGCCGAGATTTTTGGACTGTTAGGTGCTGCACCATTCCAGCCGCGTGTTTCCTAGCTTTGCGATCATAAATAAGAAAAATGTTCGCTAAAATCAACCTGTTGATGATGAGTTGTTATTTTGGAACAAAATTTTTTCCATAGTAAATTTGGCGTTGAGTTTAAACGATAACGCAAGTATAAATGATCTTAAAACGCTAGGTCTTAAAACAAGCTAACAATTCAAAGTATATTCCAAGTAAGGTAAAATATCACTTTCATCTTCACGGTAATAATATAAATAAAGGATAAAATTGATTAGAGAGCGAATTCTTATAATGAACGCTGAGCCAAAATAGAGCACCATATCAGGATAAAAGATAGGTAGTTAGCTCTTATCCCCTCTTGCCTTAAAGAGATAGACGGTGGGTAAATACCGGTAGTTGTAGCTGTGGGAATTATGCAGTGATCAGACCCACTCGCTCGTCCACGTACGTGCCTTATCCATATCGCTACGCGGGAGCTTATGCGAAGGTAAGGGAGATCACGTCATATACAAGGCGCGAATGCGATTTCTCGTTGATGCCGTTACTGCTGCGGGAGTTTTGGATAACAGGTCAAACCACACGCCTGTGATTAAAGCATACTCGCTTGCTCGATCTGTACAATCTTCAAACGCCTTCGGGCTTATCACCTAAGTACCAAGCATTGAACGTGCGACTGTTGTAGCCAGTTTTCATATCGATGTTTCTTAATTATATCGCGTTCAACATATCAATAGTTCTTGAAGTAATACTGATACATTTCGAGATTATTCTTGTTCAAGGAATTTGAATATGATTCAGTCGATAAAGGACGATAAATTATAAAAAGAAAACTAAAACACAAAAAACCATGTTCTAATTAATTTTACTACTACCATGAGTCAAAACAGGATGAAATAAATATGCACGGTTCTAAGTCAAGGTTCTAGATTATATTTAGGTATTGAATAATTTACAAAGTGGTAATGTTGTAAAACTATGAGTTTGCAATATGAAATTTTTTGATGCTATAACATGGAAATTGAAACGATGTCGAATTATGATATGCTTTTTTTAAGATTCCTTATATATTACTGTAAATATCATTTTGAAAGAAACCCCGAGTTAAACGGATAATGATTAGATAACTTTAGAAAAGCTAGTCAATGTTCGTTAACTAATTTAATAATCTCTTTTCACTGAACAAATCAAATCAGTGAAAGTTTAGCTTCGAATTCGCGAAAACATTTTAAAAGCAGCTGTGCGTCGTATAACTCTCGAGTAATCCAAATCCCCAGCAGAAGAAATAAGCGGCTCGTCAAAAGCCTAAAAAGCAAAGCGTCTCTCGTCGTTATTCAATTAGTGGTATTAGCGCCAGCAGCGAAAACCTCGCGAGCGTTACGGTGCGGTTCCGAATGAGGCTTGAAATCCCCGAGACTGCGACGACGACGTCAAAGAGGCGCGCACACGACACAAAAGGACTATGTGGCGCGAGTTTCACAGAAGTGCGGCGCACGCCTGTTAAATGGAGGAATTAGAACGCGAGCGCATGGAAATTACTGCAGGCGTACACGCGCACACGTGTGCAATAGCGTGCGCCTGTCTTTGCGACACCCCGACAGCAAAAGCTGAGAGGCTAGGAAGGAACTGGAAAATTAAATGGCTTGACTTTATGACACACATGAGGTATATTGTCAAATCTCGGCTTACTTCGGGCTTTGTGCTTTCGTTTTTACGTTGTCATGATCATTCTTATTGCACGAATATTACTTTTACTGTGTCACTGCTTTATAATTATGATGATCAAGAGTCAAACAGTTTTCCCAATTGTTTTTATTATGTGTTTTCACCTTTTAGATGCTGTAATTCCTAACCGCATATGAATTCAAGTACTCGTTGCGCGATACTCGCGCAGAACAAAACACTGCGGAAAAAATTGATGTCAAACTTTATGTAAGTCCATTAGATACCGTCGAAAGAAGAAACTTATATGACGTGTACGTGTGAAAAATTCGAATGAAGCTAACCGAAAAGAAAACTCGCGGGCAAAATCGCATGACAGTTAAATGAGCGCGGACGCGCGCCACGAGATGTTGCACGCCGGCAAAGTCGAAGCGCAATGAATAGCGCGACGCGCGAAGCGGGTGGGCTCGTCTCCTTTGCAGGTAGTGTGCGTCATGGAGAGAAACCGGAGAAGCGAAATATCCCGCGAACAGCGGCGCCGTTCTCGTGTCGCGCATAAATCCTGCATAAGGTTGAAGCCCGTAAATTACTCTTTTAGAGCGAAATCTTTGTTGCAATTTATGCAGACCGTCGTGCTAAATCATTTCACCGGCCAAAGAGGGCAATTTATAACAATTAAGCCTCCTCGCATTCTGCTGAGTGAGTGAAAAAGAAAGAATAAAAAAGACGACACGGTAGATGATAATACGTGAGGTACAGCTATACCCGATAACTATATTGTTTTCTTTTGTTTAAAAATTTAAATATTCTTTTATTATAACATTTATACAATAAAATTCACATTTCCACTGACATCCTAATGTAATATTTCTAGATATCTAGCAATAAAAAATTGAAAGTTATCAAAACAATTGTGTAAATGACAGTTCAAAATTACATATATTCTAACATTTTTCGAAATACTGTTAGACCCAGAATTTTCATCATTCTATATTAAGTAGGAAGGATAATATTTTATACATTTCTATTGAAAATCTATATTCATTTCGCCAAGTTTTAGTTATTATTAATTTACCTGGGAATTCATCGATGAGTCTGTCGAACTTCCATATAGGCGGGCTTCAACAATTTTCACTTGAACCAACGAGAATCCTGCAATCAAGTAGTTATTGATCACTAGAAAATAAGAAAACTGATAATATAGATTATAATAAAAATTATTTATTTATTTTATGAACTAGACCCATAAAGATAGTTATAAAACTTTTCAATTTGTATCTAGTAGTATGAATCAGCGTCATGTCAAACTATCGGTCTTTAATGTGCGCGGTTTCTCCTGAAAGTAGATTCAATAGCATAGATAACAATATTACTTATTAATATTTGCTTTTAGTTGGTACAAGTTCTGTAAATATGACGTTCGATCAAATCACTTTAAAAGTATCGATGAATTTTTAAAAGAAGAATAAAAGCAGAAATATAAGATACACTTAATTTTCTGTTCTTTGAAAAATAAATATTCCTTTACCGCGAAAGCAATCAGCGAACCATCAAACTCACCGCAAAAGCTGGTGATCTCATCAATCCATCGCAAAGCTCATCGCGAAGGGACGTCCCCGCTCAGTTGTACTACGTCGGCAAGCTTCGGAAAATGAATAAATGTAAGCGGAGAGCAGCAGATCTGTAGTGTCGATGAGCTTCGCGATGTCTCAAAAGTCGTTACGTTTGGAGGATTTGTCGGGTAGCGGGACCCTTGTGACCACCATAAGAGTAGAGAAGGGCCCGTCTGCTATCGAAGGAACGCTCCATCTCAGTTGTACGATGTCGGAAAGCTTCGGAAAATTGAAACATACAAGCAGAGAGTGGTAGGTCCGTAATGCTGATAAGCTTCGCGATGTCTTAAAAGTCGTTACATTTCGGGGATTTGTTGGGTAGTGGGACCCCTGTGTCCGCTGTAAGAATGGAGAGGTGGCCGTCTGCTATCGAAGGGTGACCGTTTGCTCCAAAAGCTGGGTGAGAGAGTGAGAGAGTGCCACTTAATGGTAGACTGTCGGGTAGCAGCAGCAGTGCCGATGAAGCTGAATTTATTGGTCCTCTGGTCGAGTGTGTAGCTTGCGGGCTAATGGAAACGTAAATGACCATAGTGACTCATTTGCATTGAGTGCAAAACGCGAAACGAGCCAGAGAAACGTTGCTGCTACCATGAGTGTGTGCGTGAGTGTAGGGGAGAGAAAATCACTCTAGCATACCGCACTAGCAGCACCGTATAAGAGGGACTAGGTTAAGAGGCGATCACCCGTTCATTTGAATCCGATTGCGTTTCAAACTTAAACCTTTTCTCTGCTAGCAACATAACTTTTGTCGAATCTCTGGGATTTTGCTATTTTTTATTATCTCTGTTTCTCGCTTATTTATATTGTTTTGATTGGAAAAATGTTTTCTTTATGCTTTCCATGCGAATTTATATGGGGAATGTCCAAAATTTTCCGTCAAAATATAAATGTCACTCCTATTAAATATGTCAACCACACAATATTCCATCATTACCGTCAAATTTACGAGATTCGACGAAAACTCATTAGTACTGATCATTTTTTTGTGACTGTTCAATTAATATCTGAAATTATATTCTGACTGTTTCCAAACGATGATAGAATCAATCTTGTCATATCATAATAGGAATTCAATTTAATGAATGAGAGGTACTTTTGACGTGAGCGTCATATGTCCTTACTATCCTTTAAATAATTCTCAGAAGCACTCGAAATTCCGTGAATTTTTTGACACATAAGTGTGGGTTACTAGGAATCGAAAATGGATATCCATATTCGTTGTAAAATAATTTTATCATCTATATCAGGATGTGCCATGACAAGATCCAACCAATGTTAATAATATGCATTAATTCTATCATAACAAACAGAATATGAAACAAGTGAAAGAGCAGCAGCCTAAAGTGCAAATTTAACCCGGCAGCAGCACACCAGCTATATACATCCATGTTTAAATAAAATAACATCCCTAATTGATCTGATAAGTTAGCTTTGTATACGTGCAATTTTCATATAATACAACAGCTACGGTACCGACGAATATTATAATCCCTCCGATACTTTGTTACGGCAGTCGATGAGCGTCGATGCGCAACAACGATTGCATACAGCGTATATTGGCATTAACGCACCTCTCCTATCGTGATTACTATAGGCATTAGTATATTGTCTAATATATTACTATGCACAATAAAAATATAAAAGTATATGGCTATGAAATATTCGCGTGCTTTTGAATAATTAGTAATTTTAGTATTGAAAAGCGGACATTCACAAACAGTCTTTTCAATGAAGATTTTCTCGTTTTACGATTAAATCTGTTAAAAATAATTTAAGAACGAGACGATAATCGTAAAATATTAAATTTTTATTTGTAAGTACAATGCAGGTGCTAATTAAATTGCCGTCAATTTTTATCTAATTTTCGGACGAAATTGAAAAAAAACGAGAAATATCAACGAAAATGCCATGGGTATTGGAGAGTTCCGAGAAAGTTAACAAAAGGCGAAGCTGCAGCAGCGACACGGAGAGCTGGCACTGTACAACGAGTGACCAAAATACCACTAGTGCGCAGGAGATTATTAGCACAGCAGCGACGATGTCACGAGTTTCCTTCGAAGCGCTAAATTCTCGCGGTTTCTCATAACATCGAATGTCGTCGTTCTCTCCGCTTGCTTTCGAAGCTCCAGCCAGTGATAGTTCCCTGAAATTAGTCGAGCTCGAGACTTCCACAATCGCATTCGCATATTTCTGCATCTATTCATCTATACAGAAGTATTTTCACTTACTCACTTAATGATCAATAGAAAAGCTTTCAATTGACCAAAAATAAATTTTTTTAATCATCTATCCGGCCTTTCAAGAAACTCGAACAAACGAGTCTTAAATCTCAAAGCGTCTAAAAGTCACTTCAACACGGCTAAAAGGCTAGCTTAACAATTACCGTAACAGGCGTGTACTCATGAAATCGCGTGCTCTCGTACGCGCCACCAGTAAGACGGTTGCTTGTTCGCGACAACAACGATCCCATATAATTTCCACGTGAGATACTCGCGACAGTAGCTGAGCTATACACATATATAGATCTTGAGCGCCGCGACAGCAAGTAAAGTTTCGCCACGAGACCGCTGGACAGAAGCAGCATCTTGTGCTCCCTCGTGACCGACAGCAGCGCCGAGGATATCGTGGTGGTATATCAAAGCCAAGAGCGAGGTGGTGCACACCTGACAAACTTATGTCCCCGATAGTTACTCTATAAATAAATCCTCCCTACGCGGTATCCTGTGGGGATAAGATCTCTCTCTCTCTCTCTCTTGGACCGTCGGCTCTAGTAATACCAAGCTATATAAAGATCCATGTGAAGGAAGGAAAAAGCGAGAAAATAGTTTAATTAAGATATCGGTGTATCGCGGGATTAGAAAAGTGATCGTAGTTTACTTTTTTTGTCTCTAATCAAAAGTTTACTCACTGTCCTTTTTCATTTATAGAGAAAGTACGTGAGGAATTTTCAATTGATTGCAATTGTCGCGAGGTAAGAAAGTAAATTATTTCCCTTATCAAATGAAATAATTACAAAAAACTTGAAGTTGTGCTCGAGAAATAAGCATCAACTATATTTGCGTTAATTAACCAACGATTAAGTAAGGTAACGAACTTTATTCCCGTAAAGGTGGATCTCCTTTAGCAACGTCAGCGTATTCCTCGCAGAGCGCTCGGACTTTCAAGTCACGAAATTGAGAAAAATCATACTGACGCCTCCCGCTTTCGCTTGCGCTCGTATCAATAAAGTAATTACTCCGTGAAAACTTTCATTAGTAGTTAGCCCGTCGGTCCGTTAGCGCGAACCGCGCGAAGAGAGAGAAAGAGAGAGGGAGAGAGAGAGAAAGCAAAGGCTTGCTTGTTATATATCGCGCATCCGGATCACGTAATTCTTCGGTGAAGCCGCGAAAAACGGCTTTCCCTCTATTTTCTTTCTCGGCTCGACGATAAATCTTCGTTCGAGCTGCTTCTTTCTTCTCCTATTTTTTTTCTCTCTTCCTTTTCAAGACTTCGAAAATCGCATGCGCCAAGTATACAGGTACTGTTGCTGTGACACTTGATCGCAAGACTGATATTTTCTAATTGAACGCGAATATGCACACGTTGTAAAACTATAGTCATGGATATTCCATTTACGAGAGTTTGACCGTGTATTGTTCGTAAGGTATTATTGATTGTACCAACTTAGGTCACGATAATTTAATTTATAAATGATTTAAAAAGGAAGTACGTATCCAGTTTTAATGCTCATTTTTATTTCCAATCCAATTATCCCCTTATTGACTATAAGGAATAACGATAGCGTTTGTTTGGAAACGCAAGCATGAAAATAATTTAATTTTTTTATGCCTTCCGTCAATGTATCTTTGAACTGGTAGCGTTTTAGTTGGTTGTTATATCCCATTTCGGCATTTCGGTTGTGCAAACATACACTGCTGCGAATAAATTTTCAACAAGAGCCTCTCGATTGATTGAATCGCGCGTTTACGTCGGTACAATTGGATTTTTGATCGAGATACACGCGAGCTCGGTATTTCTGTTAATCGAAACATTGCGCGCAGTGTTTACAATTCCATTCATTCCAGGCAGCAGCAGCAGAACATCGGAAATACAATTGCGCCATACAAATCAGCGAATTCCTCGACAGTAAACAACAAAAAACAAACTTAAAAAAGAAGAGTAAGAGAGGGGAGAGGGAGAAGAAATAATTCCTCTGAAATTACGCGGAAGCAGGCAGTTTAAACAGGCCCTATCGCTTGGCGTAATGAGTTTCAGACGACGACGACGAAGCTGCCGACGTAGAAAGAGAAAGAGAGGAAGAGAGAGAGAGAGAGAGAGAGGCGTATAAATTAAAGACGATATCTCGAGCTTCGCACTCTCGTAAAAATTGCTCTATCCCCCTTGGGCATCTCATCTCTCGGCTTTGCCAAGAATACATATATAGCAACCCATGCATTTGGCATGTTCGTGCAATGCCGCAGTTTCAGATTAGATGCATCTAATGGCGTTATTAGGCTCTCCCTGTACCCATGGAAACTGCTCTACTACGTTCTCAAGACG